AGATAGATAGATAGATAGATAGAGAGAGAGAGAGAACGATCCGTTTCTCGATCCATACGATTATCATTATTATTATCATCATCTTCCTACTTTTAATCGATCGGACTCTGATCGATCGCATCTACGTAGAGAATACAATAACAGATAATAAACTCGTCGATCGTTCTTTCGCGACGATCTTTCAAAGCAATTCCGAGAATAGATTTTCTAATTTATATCGATAAACGCTTTATCTTTTTATCCTAACTAGATTATAACAACGATATTATTACGTTATATGTTCTTGGAAGATGTCGTCGATTATAATATACCTTTAGAACAGGGATAAAATATCTGCACACACACATACACACACACACACACACACACATATACGTATGTATATGTATAAGCAAGCGAATATGTTGATACGTAACATCTTGGTCTATCAGATTCTTTCTCTCTTTCTTCTTCTCTTATTATCGCAGAACGTTCAAAGACCAAAATCCAAGTTCTCCCTTCCATCTAAAAACGCGAACGAACGAACGAACGAACGAACGAATGAACGCTGCTATGAACTCGAGACGAGACGAGACGAGACGAGACGAGACGAGACGAGACGAGACGAGACGAGACCAGACGACTCTTTACGTTGTACTCGGGGACATAAGTAAGTACATACATAGTTAACTAAGTCATGTATATTGATCTAACCGACTCATCACCTCGAGGGGACTCGTAACGTTTATTTACAAAACATTTATGTCCTCGAAATTCGTTCTAGGATCTAATCGAGATCGTTGTCATTCTTAAGCACGTTTAACCGGCTAATTAAGTAACATAAAGCAACAATTACTTTTAAATATCCTTAAATATCTATATGCGAAGGATAAAATATATGTAAAAGTCTTTGATAATAAAATATTATTAATTAAAATAAAATATTTACCTTCCAACCGGCACTGCTATTACTATCACCCTTGTCCTTGAAATAGTTAACGTTCTGTACCATCCACTCGTATATCTGGGATAACGTGAGCCTTTGTTCCGGTGCACTGGTGATCGCTTGTGTAATCATATCGGCATAGCTTAGATTACCCCACGCGTTTCTTCTAGATGAGTTCTTTTTAACTGGGAATAATGGTGCACCCCCCGCACCTGTTTGTCCCAATGTTGCCTGTTGCGGTGGTGTACCACCTACCTCGCCTATGTCGTTACCAGTTTGTACACCACAAGCACCACTACCACCACCAGAACCACCAACGACGACTCCAACGTTACCATCGACGTATCCATCGGGCCTCGGTAAAGGCCACGTGTTGGATCGCGCTCTCGTTTGTGGCTCAAAACCGCTTTCGTCGAACGGTACTCCCTGTTGTTGCTGCTGCTGTTGCTGCTGTTGTTGTTGTTGTTGTTGTTGCTGCTGTTGTTGTTGTTGTTGGGAAACGGTCGATGAACTCGTCGATGATGATACTGTAGAGACCGAGTCCATCATGTTGGCCTCCTCTGTATATTCCACTTTGACCGCGAGCATGTTTCGCGGGCGAAAGAAGTACCGGTAGTTAGTAGTCTCTCACAGTCGTCGACCTTAAGAATTGAGTGCGCGCGTGCGTTCGCGCGCACCGAACCAAGGGCTTGATCTTCTTCCTCTCTCTCTCTCTTCTTCTTCCTTCTCCTCCTCCTTCTTCTCCTCCTCCTCCTACTACTACTACTACTACTACTACTACTACTACTACTACTAGTACTCTTTATTCTTCTTCTATATGTTTCAAAACTCTTTGTCTTCTTAATCTTATTTCCTTTCTTTCTTTCTCTTATTATTATCAATCTTCGAAGAAGAGACGAATTATGCTTCTTCAATCTGTCTTCTTTTCGATTACACTAAGATATTATAGTTTTATCATAATTATTCAATGTATAATATATATATGTATATATATATATCTCTCTCTTTTCTTTCTCTCTCTCCCTCTCTCTCTCTCTCTCTCTCTCTCTCTCTCTTTCTCTATTACGTTTTAAAAATCATCGAAAAAGAACGAAATACCGAAAGAGATCTAATCGGTGCGAGACGTTTCTATCGACTAAGTTAAACGGGTGAGAGAGAGCGCTTTAACGGTTCTCCACTTGCACGCGTTCCAACCCGTTTGTAATGTGCAAGAAAAAGGGGAAAAAAAAAGAAGAAAAAAAAGAGAAATAAGAAAACAAGAAGAGAAAGAGGGAGAAGAACACTCTGTGGATCGCGAAGAAAATTAAGCGCGAACGACGGATCGACTCGGCTACGACTGCCGGGCCAATCGAGCGAGAATACTGCTACGCGCCGCGTTCCTCTTCGCCAACGACTAGAAAGAGAGATGGAGATAGAATGGTAAAAGAGAGGGATAGATACACTGAGCGAACGAACGAAAGAACGAACGAACGAGCGAGCGTGCGAGAACGTCGTTTACGTACGTTCCTCTGTCTAAGTGTGTCCGTGTCCGACTGTATGAGCACGATCGAGACACGCGGGAACGACCGAACGTCTACGAGTGAACGAGCGAGTAAGCGAATGCGAACGAACGAACGCGAATGCGAACGAACGAACGAACGAACGCGAATGCGAACGAACGCGAACGAACGCGAACGAATAAGAACGAACGAACGAACGAACGAACGAAGGAACGAACGAATGAACGTGCGAGCGAGCGAGCGAGCGAGCGAATGAGTGAGTGAGCGAGAAAGAGAAAGAGAAGCCGAGAGAAGGATAGAAGATCTACCTAGTAGTGGGGGCAAACCACGTGGTCAAACTCTCTGTGTTTACAAGCCGCGCCGCTGTCGGTCACGTGGCCATGTTTTGATAGAGAAATTGGCCCACCCCGCGTAGGGAAAATCCCGCCAAAGATCTTCTCGTCGACCTCCGAACAGAGAGGATGATTTCTCCTTCCTCCTACGACTATTACGATCTACTACCTCCTATTCCTCTTCTTTTCCTGATACTTCCTCTCGACGATAACGAAAACGACGACGAAGACGAAGCACAAAGCACCAAGGAAGACGAAAGACGAAGAGACAACGACGATGACGTGTCCTTCGCGGGATAATAGTACCGTATCGATATAACGAATGACGGTGGCACACAAGCAATAATGATTCTCCAAACTCCGACGTTATCAAAGATCGAGTATGAAAGAGATCATTTACTTTTTTTGTTAATTTCTTATATCTTCGATTATATCGATTAAAATCATATCTTCTATCTTTCAACTTGTTCTTTTACTTTTCCTTTTACATTTCTTTCTTCTCTTTGTTTTTTCTCTCTCCCATCTTTCTTTTTTTTTTTTTTTTTATTTAACACGTCGAGATATTATTAATCTTTTATCACTTTCGGCGCGAAAATTTAACTCGCGCGTCTCACTCTATCGTTTTTCTTTTTCTTTCCCCTTTTCCCCCTTATTTTCCCGTTTCTTTTTCAATCTTTCTTTCTCCAATAATTCAACGACGTTTGACGAAGATATTCGATCGATCAATCAATCGATCGATCGATCGATCGATCAATTTATTTATTTATTTATTTATTTATTTATTTCTCTCGTCGATTTTTCCTCCCGTCGTATTATTCGAATTCAAGAATGAATTATGTACGGAAGGTGACGTGAATTTATTCAAAATATTTCTCGACGTTTCCTTTTCGTTTCGTTTTTTCTCCCTTTTTTTATCTCTCTCTCTCTCTCTCTCTCTCTATCTCTTTCTTTCTCTCTCTCTCTCTCTCTCTCTTTCTTTCTTTCTCTCAAAGACGATCAGAAAATAATAATTAACGAGATGATTTCTAATGTTCAAGATGGAGAAAAAAGATCAATCGTAAAATTGTCTTCTAGCGCTGTCGCACGTCATACAGAGAAAAAGAAGAAGAAGAAGTTACCGGCAAGGCAGCACGGCGTATACTGACGAATTCTTCTGACCGCCGGCCGGAACTGACCGAGCGAAGCCGAAGTTACGAAGAGACGAGAGGCGAATTCGTGGCGCCTACCTCCTCTCTCTTTCAATACCAGTGCGAGAGAGATGGATAAAGTTCGTAACTCGTCGAGAGAGAGAGAGAGATAGAGATAGAGATAGAGAGAGAGAGAGAGAGAGAGAGAGAGAGAGAGAGAGAGAGAGAGAGACATAGAGGATTCGATTTGAGAGGGGGAGGAGAGAAAAAGAGAGAGAGAGAGAGAGAGAGAGATACAGTTAGGGAGGGGGAGAAGAAACGTTTGGAACGTACCATGGTGGGTGGTTGCTCGGTGCCTTGCTGCTTCGTCGAGTGGGAGAAGAAAGAAGGTGGGAGGTTACGGGTGGGTGTGTGCGCGCGCGCGCGCCCAACACTCAGCGAGAGAGAGAGGGAAAGAGTAGGTTGGCAGGCCGGCTGCTTGGTGGTGGAAAGACGAAATCACCTAGTTAGAAAGAGAGAGAGAGAGAGAGATTACATCCTTGACGATATCACGAGGTAATAAGTACCACTGAACGTTTTGTATAAAGATTTGTCTCGTTGACCGAATCATCTCTCTTTCTCTCTCACTCTCTCTCTCTCTCTCTCTCTCTCTCTCTCTCTCTTTCTGTCTATTTATCTATCTATCTACCTATCTACTTATCTATCTATTTATCTATTTATCTATCTATCTATCTATATCTATCTCTCTCTCTTTTTGTGTATAATTTGAATTATTAAAAAATACGATAGCCTTGTCCTATCGTTCGATTAATTAAAAAGCCCGCGTTTCGCGAGCGCCATCTACTACCACGTACGACGACCTTTTATTTTTTGAAATTCCTACGCACGTATGTATCTACGTTACCACCCGTCCGGATGTTAAAAGATATGCTAAGAGAATTCGCAATGAATATTTTTCTTTTTTTCTTTTTTTTCTTTTTTTCCTCTCTTTTCTTAAATTGTCTTACTTTTGTAATATATAATAAGGTTTGAAAGTTCAAACGATTTTCTTCGAATATATTATCGTTTATAATCGTCGATCGTTTCGATCGATTGATCGCGAATAAAAAAGAGAAAGGTAAAATGTAAGAGACAGAGATAGAAATGGAGATAAAGAGAGAGAGAGAGAGAGAGAGAGAGAGAGAGAGAGAGAGAGAGAGGGAGGGAGAAAGAGAGAGGTTAACGAGTGAATAAAGTTTATCGTGTGAAAATGCACATGGGGATGGTACGAATAAAGACTAGAAAAGATATGCCGTTCGGTAATCCAGCCCCATTAGATCCTCTCGAAAGAGGAAGTACTATTATTTACGTTGCCCTTAATTCTAAAGCCCATTTTACACCAACCATTACGACGTAAAAAAGAATTGTTACCAAATTCGTCAAGGTAACGGAGAACAATGAACTTTCACTTTAAAACCCTGGCAATTTATCAATTTTACATAGATATAATTTAAGATAAATTTATACTAAAATCGTAATAAAATTTTATTAACTAACCTTCGTAATTATCCATACGTAGGTATATATATATATATATATATATATATATATATATATATATATTATATTTATATTTGTCATAACAAGTTTTAGGATAAATACAATAAAAGTAATGACAGGATCGTGTTGACCTTTGTACACTGTCCCAATTCGTATGTTTAAATACAAAGATAAAGAAAGTCGTAAAAATAAATAATTTTCTATAACCATGTAATAAATCTTCTGAAATAATTTTTGAGATAATAATATTATAGAATGGTAACGAATTAACGAAAGTTAATGGTTTAATAATTATCAATGAAAGATCACTATCAATATCTATCTATTCGCGCCATCTTTTAAAAAATTTCGTAAAGTTTAATGAACTATAAAGTATATCGATCGAAATAAAAACTACTTTCCCATTGAGAGAGAGAGAGAGAAAGAGCCAAAGATAAGGATGCGTCGGTAAATAATTTTACAAGAGGTATAAAAGTACGACATTACCCACCGTCGATTTTAATCAAAGGAAAATAGTACGAAGATGATCGTAGGTATCGTAGCGCCTTCGAAGAAAATGGCGCTGCGAATGGGCGGGTTTCGAATCGTTCGAATGGAGTGCTCACGACCGGCCGGCGGCACTCATTTGGCGCACCGACGTCGCGACGCGCGGTATGCGTTGTTCCTTCCTTTCTTTCTATCCGTTCTCCGACCTTCCTTTATTTTTTATTTTTTGTGCGCGTATTATTAACGAACTTTTCAAAAGCCGATATATATATATATATATATATATATATATATATATATATATATATCTCTATTCGATTCGACGATTAACTTTCCTTTCTTTTCAAAATGCACGATGATATCGCGGAGTTATTCGTTGCGAGAAAAGAAACGAAAGAAGAAAGAAATTCGTGTGATTGTGACGTAATAAATTGATCACGTTGAAAAGTGAGAATAAAAAAAAAGGGGGAAACGAAAAAGAAAAAAATAAAAAAAAGAAAAAAAAATATAAAAAAGAAAAAACAACGGAGGAAAAGGAAAACGTAACAAGTGTGAGATCTCTTCGTAAAGATCGATAAAAGGGAATAGAGATAGGAGTTAGAGAGATAAAAAGAAAGAGAGAAATAGTGTAATAAAACAGTGAAACAAAATAAAAAAAAAAAAGGGTGAAATATAATAATGTAGATGTTGGAACGATCAAATGGTAAATGATTTGGATGATGGTGATTACGTCGTTCGTCGTCAATCGTCTAAGTGAGAGAAAGAAGGATAATCATCTGGTATGCACCAAGGACTGATCGTCGTTCTTTCCTCGTTGAAGGATCATGCCGTTCGTGATTCGAAAGGTGGAGCCGCGTTTCTTGTGCCGCGGTCACGTGCCATCCGGCGCGGCGGCACAAGAGTTACCGGTTGGTGCCGAATTGGAGGCTGTTGCGAACGGTGCACTTACAGGTTCGTTAAAGCAACTGGCCTCGCTTCTCACCATTGCCGAAGACATATTTGCCGAACTCACTCGGGAACTGACTGCGGTTGCCGAAAGGAGTGCCCAAGTCAGACGAAGACTGGACAAGGTCGAAGAACGACTTGTTACCATCGACCCTAAAAAGATTCCCGTTCGTGAGTATCATCGTTTTAATAAATTCCAATTATTTTATTCGAAAGAAATGTCAACCGATCCTACGAATGTAAATTTCTTTTTCTTTCTTTTTTTGTATTTATAAATTTATATATATATATATATATATATATATATATATAAAATTAAGTAAGTACATAGGTAGTACATATATTAAAATTAATTCTTTATAGTCTAGTCCGATGACATGGATCGTCATTTCAACGGAAGTACGTCTCTTTCTAACGACATTACTTTTGACGATCCATTATCGTGTGCATACATACATACATACATATATACATATATACATATATACATATATATGTATATCTATGTGTTATTACCCTGGTAATATAATACATACACATAGATCATAAGTATACATAACATATTCGGTCGTGGTTCGTTGGATCGCCGATTATATCGTCGGGATTATACAACGCGCAACATCCATGCCAGGAATTCTTTGATCGCA